ACAATAGAAACATTTAAGTCCAATTCGACATGTAAAGTAACCTCCTGAAGTATTGTGCTCACGGTACACCCTGTATAATGGCGGCCTTGCATTCTATACTGTGATTACGACTCGTAAATTGTATGTTTAAAACACCTCGATATAAAATTTCTGCAGTATTATTTTCAATAATTACATGGCATTATATTTGGCACCATATTTATTAACAATCATAAAGCGACAGGGAAAAAATTTTGAGTAATCAGTCCTTGTTAACGAGAAGGGGAGAGATAGCAATTAATTTTCGATCTCTTACTTATGTTCCATTTCAATTACCTTTCATTGTGGAGGAAAATTTGATGTACGAATTAACCATTTCTTTTTAATTAAAAAACCTTCATATTTGTAGCATTTTCCTTCTTTTAATTACATTATTTCCGTTCTCATTTCGATTTGATTAAGCAACTTTTAGTTAATTTAGTTGGTTTACTTAGGTAAAAATAAATTTTAAGCCGAAAAAATGCCCTGTTCTAAAATTTTTTTTAATTTTTTTGTTTTTTAAACGAGGGTTCGCAACAGCAGAGGTCATTTAAACCCTCGGGGTGCCGGTGTTTTGGGGAAAAAAGCCCATTTATAAGTATGTCGGGTTCGAATCCAGCGGCCCTGCATTCGAACCCGAAACCTTTACCTTACAGTGATGAGCGCCGTGTCAACGCCTAACCGTTGCGGCCACCGACGCCCCCCTTAAACAGTGTTACATTCATTAAATGCCTAAACAACAACAACCTGTGGGTAAGAACCACCCTTTATAACAAAAATGTTATATTTCTCACGAAAATTGACAAGGGTCAATGACATGGATTTGGACCAAACTTTTTTTTGTGATTCTAAACTCCAAAATATCGGACACGTATACGCCACTTCTTGGGAATAGATGTTGGCTGGTTTCGTGAATTTTTTTGTTTTTGTTTTGAAAGTGGAAATAGTCTTATTTCGCCTTTCTTCTTGTTAAACTCAACTATGTCAAATACAGCATTTTTTGTGTAGATTGCAATAAAAATATCAAAGTTTATTAATAGCCCAAAAATGTCTAAAAACCAAATATTTTTCAAGTAAACTAGGTCCTAATTTTTTTCTCTTGAAACTGACATAACATTTCGTTTTAGCACCTTTAGAGACCCCTAAATATAAATTTTTGTTTTAATTAAAATTTCCCGATTTTTTGACCCATAAAATTTGATGGTATAAAATATAAGCGTAATAAAGTAAAATTCCTGTATATTTGCAATTTTTTAAATACAATTGTTTTAACTTTAATAAATCGATTTAAATTTCAATTTATCCCTTTCTTTAAGCCATTCAAACATTAGGGGACGGAATAAAATATAAGCTTTTAAGTAAAATTACTGTATATTTGCGAACTTTTTAGATTATAAATTTTTTATGTTGATTGCAATCAAAATATATTAATACCTATCAAAACTTATCAATAACCAAAAAATTTCTACAAATAAAATATAACTAGGTCAAATTTTTTTTTCTCGTGAAACTAATATGAAATTTTGTTTTAGCCCTTTAGAATTTGTTTAAAATGAATTATCAACCATGTAAATTAATCCACTAGCTTTGGAGAAAAATGATGTTAGAACTTGTACAAGGAATATCAGTGAGGCGGAAAAAGGTCGTCGAAATTATCAGTCAAAATATTAATTTACACCGATTTTCGCGAAAGTCGGTGTCTAAGAGTTTTGTAACGCTAGAATAACGACAATGAGGTCAAATCCAAATTTTGACCATTTTCTGATCTACGTTCCTTACTGAATGTTAAAGTATGCAAAAAAGCTGTAATTTGTTGATTTATCTTTTTAAATCATACAAAATTAGAATATTCGTCTTGTATTGCATGATTAATTGTTTAATGCTTTAGAAAAGGGGATAATTTGAAATTATAAAGAATTGAACCTCCTATATTTTTTAATGTTTCAAAAAAAGGGTTAATTTGACTGAAAACATCTATTTAAATAATAGTACAAAGAAAGAACTAATACAAAAGGTCCAAAGCATAACCTGTCTTAACAATTAAAAGAAAAATATTTTACGTGGTATTTTATCTATGAACCTACTTTATATGTCAAGTAATTTTTCCTTTTATGTAAGGTCTTGGTTGAAATGAAAAAGCTAGTGTCACGAGCGGGATTCGAACCCACGACACTGAGCTCAACACGCCGCTACTCCAACCACTTGAGCCTTCGATCTACTAGGACACCATCTCCCCATCTCAACCTACAACCTTTCGAATTTTCCCTCCTTTTTGCCAATTTTCAAATGTCGTGTAATCAGGATTAGATTCTCAGCGACTTATGAAAATGGCCACGGTCAGCTGTTAGTGAAGTGATTACTTTTTTACTATTAACCATTTACATTTAGTGGTCTAATTGACCATATTAATTATTTCAATTAATTATTCCTTTTATATAAGGTCTTGGTTGAGATGAAAAAGCAAGTGTCACCAGTGTGATTCGAACCCACGAACCTCGGATCAACACGCCTCTGCTCCAACCACTTGAGCCCACTAAACATAAATGGACTACTTTATATATTTTTTTAATTCTCAAAGAAAAAAAAAGAATCCTTTATTTTTATATTTGATTTTATATTATTTTTAATTTTAATAGTAATTAATTTTCATACTGTTTTCTAAATCCAAATTATTTTATGTATAAAAAAAAGATTCGCAAATATACAGGAATTTTATTTTACATGCTATATTTTGTACCATCTAACTCTTTTAATGCTTTTAAAAAATAAATGCTTTTAAAAATTTAATTGCTCCCCTTTATGCTAACGACGACTCCCAAATTTACCTTTCTTTCCTACCTCTTCACTTGCATGTTTAATGGTAAAAATTCAGAAGGGTGGGGCTCTGAAAATGGGCTTAACTCGAATGTAGAATGTCCCAGGCTATTGTGTTTAGATCTTGTTCTTCCAATCCTCACTTCCTACCGTCCTTTTGCCATTAACAATCACCTTATTTTCTTCTGTCAAGGCCCTTGATCCTGGAATCCACATTTTTCCCAGATTACCCGACGCCACATTCTCCTCCATCAGTTCTGTCAGCTGTCTTTCGTAGTTTTCATCATTTGATTGCGGAGAGCGACGCACTGAGAACCTTGAAACTAAATAAACTTTAACGAATCGTTTTGTACTTTTTACCTTCGGCTCCCCAAGAGGTCCCATAACTGATCTATACGAGTTTACCTTCCAAGTTCTCAGTATACTCACGTAAAACTTGCTCTTTCTCACCTATATCACACAACTACTGTTTTCAGCTCTTCCTCGTCCTTTTTCACTTTTATGTACCGTCTCTTCGGTAACCTTTTGTCAGTTTCATGTTATTTTTTCTTTTGCTGCGCAAATGGCTAGCAAAGGTTTTTCTAAATTGAATTCCCGTGTAAAATTGGGAAGAAAACTGACACAATTGAATATTTGTGAATTATATATTGTATTAATATATTGATTTATTTTCCAAAAGAAATTGGTGTTGTTTTAGGTTTAGGCACTTTAATTAGAGATTTTCGTCAAAATTTAAAAACAAAATCTATTGGGTTGTCCGGAAAATAATGCAGGATTTTGGTATTAAACAAAAAAAAAGAAACTAGTTACTTTAAAGCAATGTTCTTTAATCAAAATAATTTCCCATACTCTCAATACATTTCTCCCAACGTGTTGGTAACTTATTAATTCCGTCTGAGTAGAATTCAGAATTTTTAGAATTGATAAAGTCAATAAATGCATTTTCCAGTTCCGTTTGATTTTTGAATATTATGTGTTGTAAGTAGTGGTCCAGGTGTCTAAAAAAATGGTAGTCAGTAGGCGAGAGGTCCGGAGAGTAGGGTGGGTGAGGCAAAGTTTCATAGCCAAGCTCCAATAATTTTTGTGACGTTACACGTGACACATGTGGTCGAGCGTTGTCATGCAACAAAATGGGCCCTTTCCGATTGACCAAAGAGGGCTTCATTACTGCCAATTTCTGATGCATGGTATTAATTTGGTTACAGTATGATTCAGCATTGATGGTTTCGCCAGGATTTAAGAAGCTGTAGTGTATTAAACCAAATGAAGCCCACCATACCGTAACCATTACCTTTTTTTGATGAGTTGGGGGCTTTGGAGCTTCTCCTTTGTCGAGCCACTGTCCAGAACGTCTAGTGTTATCGTAGAGAATCCACTTTTCGTCACATGTAACAATTCTGGCCAGAAATGGGTCATTTTTGTTTCGACAAAGAAGTGATGCACAAACATCAAAGCGCTGATTTTTTGGCGATCGTTTAATGAGTGTGGAACCCAATTTTCGAGTTTTTTCACTTTTCCAATCGCCTTGAGGTGGTCAGCGACGGTCGTTTTACTGACTTTGAGTTGCTCTGCAAGTTCTCGAACAGTTGTTTTGGGGTTTTCTTCCACCACTGATCGCAGAACATCATCATTAAGAGAGGAAGGCCTTCCACGACCTTCTTCATCTTCAAGGCTGAAATCTCCCTCCCGAAATTTTTTAAACCACCTTTGCACAGTGCACTCATTAACACAACCCTCGCCCCAGACTTGGTTAATGTTTCTAGCCGTTTGGGCTCCGCTTCGGCCGAGTTTAAACTCGTAAAAGAAAATCGTACGAAATTCTCGCTTTGACAATATAAGGATGACTGAATTATTTCCAAGTAGCGGAATGCTACAGAGGTAAACAAACAATATCATTTGGAAGAGGATTAATAAGTGTTGACATTCATACAAATGAGTAATCCTGTAAACGTAAACAGAATATTTTATATAGATTTTTTTTAATGAAAACTTAAAATCCTGCATTATTTTCCGGACAACCCAATACATTCATAACAACTTGACACAACACGCGCTGTATAAATACTCGTTATGAGCATCGAATAAAGGAAATAATACATCAAATTAAATAAACAAATTTATTCATGGAATGTAAACAAAAACTATAAAAAAATTCGCTTATAATCGAAATTTTTTACAATTAATCATCTAACGAATCACATATTTGTTCAAATTTTTAATTCATTTTGTGCAAATTACCGCAATTTTGTCAAATGTGCGATATTGAGATCTTTTCCAAAAAGAAATTATAAAAGGTTCTTTCACGCTACTATTAACAACATAAATTGAGAGTACATCCACTTCATGTGAAGGAAATATTCTGAATTGAATGTAGCAATGTAATGGCTTATTTTGGCCTCAGTTAGTTCGATTTAATTAATATACAAACAATCGAAATAGAAATGAGACATCAACGGGGAAGAATTTACGAGGAGAAATGAGGTAAATACTCGTCAAAATAATATTTAAAAAAAAACATATTGCTTGATCGTCAAGTATAAATGTTGGATTAAAAGTGTTAATGATGGAATTTATTTTTAGTAAGCAATTACTTGTTGAATGAATATTGTACCTGATAAGGTTTTAAACGCTATTGGTTATTATGTCTGGCGTGGACCGAGTCCCGTTTGAGTTAACTGTTATCTTTTTGTGATTCAGTTTTTCTTGAATTTCGTGGAGGGTTTTCCCCTTGGTTTCCACGACGTACGTTATAACAAAAATGGTCGCGACAGCACAGGCACAGGAGAACACCCAATAGTTGATGTACATGCCGACGCCTTCGGCGAGAGGGTGGTAGATCTTGTTCATGATGAAAGACGTTCCAGCGGTGACGACTGCAGTTAAACCCGATGCGAGGCCTTTAATGTTTGTCGGAAAAGCTTCTCCCTGGACGGTGGAAGGGATAGGTCCCAATCCAATGCTAAAACACAATCCGTATACCAACAAGGAACAGAACGGAAGCCAGTAGATCGGTTGAACGTTGATGTCGGTCTCCGTGTCTAAAAAAAACCATAGCCCAGCCGTGAACATAGCTAAGCCGCAGCCGACGCTCGAGCCGAACAGAAGGGGCTTTCGCCCCCAGGAATCTACTAAGACCATCGCGATAAAAACGCTAGCCACCCAAACCATCCCCATGACGATGACACAATCGTTTCTTCCTAACATGCCGGCTCCTTGTGGAGGAAGGGTCGTCGAAGTATATGCAATCAATGCGCTTATACCGGACATCCTCTGTAGTATAGCGAGCATTTCAACAATTATCAAAGCTTTTCTGTTTCCACTGGTCGCAATTAAGTCCTTCATGGTGTGTTTATTGCACATTTCTTTAATTACATTCTTTTCAATTATCTCCATTTCTTCTTTGACGCAGTCGGGGCTGTTGTATCCCCTCAGCCAAGCGAGGGATCTACAGGCTTCGTCCTTCTTGCCCACCATAACCAACCAGTACGGACTCTCTGGAATGAACCAAAATGTCACTACGAATATTAGAGGTATCGCACCCGATATCACAGCCAACAGGTGGTAGGAAACGCTCGGTCCGACAATATACTCAAAAACTACCCCCAAATTAATCATAAGTTGTACAAAGGTGCTCAATGCTCCTCTAATTCTAGGCTCAGAAATTTCGGCCAAGTACATAGGTGCTATGGTGGTTACAATGCCACTCCACATACCTAAAAAAATAATATGATTAAACGGGATGCATAAAGTAAATCTTGTACGTTTTCGTTAAAACTACCTGATAAAAATCTGGCGATATACAACATATATGAAGCATTGGCGAAGTATATTATCGTCCATGAGGTGAGCGGTATAACGGACAAAATAGACAGAGATCTTTTCCTCCCCAAACGATCCATCAACATACCCGCCGGCATGGGGCTCATTAGATTGCCCAAGTAGAGAAAAGACACCATCCAAGAAATTTCGGATGTTGTCAGAGACATAGGTTCGTTCGTTTCCTCGATTTTCGTCAAGACTGGAGAGGGCCATGCCAGGGTAGTACCGAGTATTATCACTGATATGCTTGCTAAAACATAATAGAGCAAGTAAGCAAGTAAACACAAATTTTAGACCTCATTTAAAACATGTATACACATTTGAAAAATCATATTTTCATTCCTGTTCGCCACATGAACTTAAATATCCTGTCATTTAAATCTTTCATCTTTGAGCCAAGTTGTGTCTCGTAGCTATCCACCGATAGGATCTCCTTTCTTCTACGTGTCTTTTGTACTGCCTGTTGTCCTTCGGTTGTTGTGTGTATAGCATTCTTGGCATAAAGGAGAGCAAAAAGGCGAATGCTTTTCCCCCAATTGGTTAGATATTTTCCACATATTCCCTTGAAAAACCACGGCTCTTGGACGTCTATAAGGAAAAGATCTTTGAAAAATTTTTCTTTTGGCAACAACTTTTAGCCAAAAGAGCGAGCACCCAGTTAACTATTTTTCACTTCAAATTAACTTTTTGTAATTTCAAATTAACCCTTTATAATTTCCAATTAACCTTTTTAATTTCAAATGAACCCTTTTTTATTTCAAATTTACCTTTGATATCTTTAAATTAACCCATATTGAAATTAACTTATTTAAAGTTCAAAATATCCCTTTTTTAATTTTCAAAATAACCCTTTTTTATCTTCAAATTAACTTTTTAATTTCAAGTTATCCTTTTCTAACTTTAAATTAACCCAAATTAATTTCTTATTAATCTTTTCTTTAAAGTATTAAAAATCCTTTAACCTCCATGGTACCGACGGTATTACAAGTGTGGTGAAGAGCTAATGAAAAGTTCAAGCCTCCTTAAAAGACTCGAATGTAATAGCAGTAGTAAATAGTATTATAGTCGAGTTAATAGTTTCCGTGTTTAACACGATTCGTTCAGAAGATCTGCTGCGATTTTAGACAGCTCATAAACGAATCCTTTTTTTACTGTCCTTAATAATTTGCGCTCAACCCTCTCTTGCCAGATTTTTGTCGACCTGCCCTTCCTCTTCGTCAGCGATTCCGTCTTCCTCTCTAATATCTCCGCACGTCATCATGAGCCATACACAACTAGATTTCTGTTTCTAAACTTTTTTTTAATCTCGTTCTTTTTCCCGTAGAAACGTGTTTCCATTGAAGAAACTGAGTATTTTTGCGACATTCTTTTCATACAAACTAATACCACGACCGCACGGATAAAAATATAGACCGAAATATAAACTAGGAACTAAACGAAAATCAATAAACAAACTCTGAATCCGATTATTTTTGTGACCTATGATTGAATCCATATTTACTTTTCTATAACTAATTTATTAATTCTTAATTGTTTTCACATAATTTTCAGAAGTTTAACTTGTATTAAGATCACATTTTAAATATAATGCAAAATTAAAAAAATTAGGTAGCTCTAATATTGAAACGTAATATTGTAAAGAACAAAAAGAGATTTCTGATTAATTTTGTGAGACAGATTAGGTTGATACAGCCCGTAAAATTAACCCTTTTTTATTTTAATTAACCCTTTTTAATTTCAAATTAACCCTTTCTGTAAAGTATTACAAACTGGTATGGAAAATCGAAACCAACCTTACTATTATTTCGCTATTCCATTCAATTTAAAAAAAAAGGTTTAATAAAAATAAATTTATATTAAAACGTCGAATGTATTTATTTTTCTTCTAAATTTGGGTGAAATAGTAAAAAAATCACTTCCATCATATCAAAAGCAGGAAAAACAAAAATCTCCTCTCATCCTTACTGCAAAAGAAAAAAAATTGCTAGGATTTACCTGTTGCTGCAGCCAAATACTGCCTGAATAGTGCTATTGATGAAGGCTTCATATCCCTACTTCCTGGGGGTGCTGTGGGTCGCAAACTGAGCAAACTGTGGTGCCAAACTAGTGCAATCTTGTTGACATGGTGCCATGTATACGAGGTCCCCACTACTTGAATTCTTTCCACTGACTAGATAAAAGAGATTATTCAACTCAATATTAGCGGTTAACCATTTGTTTTTCTTTTACCAGCTGATTTTTGTAGAAACTGACTGCGCAAGCGACCGTCCCACAAATTAATTTATAAACAAATACAGTTACCAAAAATCATATTTGATCATTACATGGTTTTTAATGGAATAATGAATATTTATTTAGCTTATCATGATTTTATTTTGTCATCCCTTCTTATCATTTTTTTTCTCTTGAACCCCGAGTTTAAGCTTTTCCACGTGATATTCCTTTATAGTTTACCTTCTCCACTTTTTCCTCTGGTACATATCTTTTTTCCGATGAAACATCCCTTGAAGTTTACAAGAGTCTGTCCATTTCCGTAAGAACTAAATTACCGTTTTGTTTTAATTATTATCAAAATCGGGAACAGTTTATTAAACTATTTTTAGGGAACTTCTCAAGGGCAGTGGAGATAGCGTTAGTTAATCCTGTCACAACACATGATAAATTTAAATAAGCTGTAACCAAAAATAATTTCTTTACGATTGAGTATAGACAACGCGCCAGTTAAAGTAACGAGCCGTTTTACGGACAAACGCCCTGAGCACGATCTTGGGTGGAATTGTCACTTTTTAAAAATATTCACTTATGCATCAAGACCTCAAGTGATCGAATTGTAAAAACAATGTATTCAATGGAAAAGACACAAATAATTATCTGGTCACCATTTTACGTCAAATGATCATCTCGTCTATTCTTCGTAAGTCGTTAAAATTAGTTTTTAAGAGAGAAAATGTTCTAAATGCAAGAAATACTAAAAGTAAATAATGCAGATTAAGGATATTTTTTGCAGTTGTACTGACTAGTTCAAGTGCAACAGTTCAAACGGCATATTCAAGTAGATCAAACCTCTTGACTTCCTTTCTGCCAAGTTAAAGCCGCAGGAAACAAGTGAAAACCTTTTTGTTGCTGCCGATTGACTATGAATTGTAACCGAAAATCATGTACTAAATAATTTAACGATCGTTGTTTCGAGGGTGTACTTATGTTCAACGATATGGCTTAACACGTTGAAGTACCTGGTTGTTTAAGTGTATTTTTATGTATACTATGAAATAGTCAATAAAAGCTTATTAATTTTGTAAATTTCAAATTTACCCTTTCTTAGTTTAAAATGACCATTTTTTTAAAGCATTAAAAACTGAAAAGATGGTATGAAATGGTCAATAAAGGTTTTTTAATTTTTTTTTAAATTTCAAATTTACTTTCTCAACTTCAAAGTAATCCTTTTTAAAGCATTAAAAAACATGAAATGTTCATTAAAGGTTTTAACAGAGCGTACATCAAGACCATTTGACTACTACATTTTTTCATTTTATTGTAAAATTTAGCTTTTTCCATGCAATTAACTTATATTTAATGTTTTTTAAAATTCACGTTAACCCTTTCTTTGAAGCCTTTAAAAACATAAAGGGACAGTATAAAATATAACATTGTAAAGTAAAATACCTGTATAGCTTTCTTCCGACAAATTAACCATTTTTTAACCATTAATTAACCTTTTTAACTTCAGCACTAACAAAACCTTAGGAAATTGTATGAACTATAAGCATGTACAGCTTTTTCTTTTTTCAGATTTTGTAATTTCTAATCTCAAATTAACCCTTTCTTTATAGCATTAAAAAACGCAGATGTTATGAAATATAAGTATGTAAAGTAAAATCCTGTATATTTGTGAAATTTAAAAATAATATCTTAAAATAATTGGGCTATTAAAAGACAATATGAAAATTTTACAAGTAAAATTAAAAATCAACAAAATTAAATCTAAAAATAAAGGATTCTTTGTTTAATTTGACTATTTAAAAAAATATAAAATCGATTCTTAAAAATGTGTAAAAGTTAATCTAAAAATAAAGGTTTGAAAATTATAAAAAATTCTCAAATTAGAAATAAGAATCTTTCATTTTTACACTTAATTTTTGTAATTTCTAATTTTAATTGAAAATAATTTTCACATAGTTTTCTAAGAGCACACTTATTTTTTTTTTATAAAACCTTAAATACACAGGTATTTGACTGGAAATGGTTATATTTCATACTATCTTCTAAGTTTGTTAAAGTTTTAAAGAAAAGGTTGATTTGCATTTTGAAATTAAAAAGAGTTATTTTGAAATTAAAAAGGTAAATTTTATGTTAAAAAATGGTTAATTTGACATTAAAAAGAGTTAATCTGAATTAAAACCATGTTAATTTGATGGGAAAAAAGCTATAATGTGCCAACTCGTCGTTTTATTCGATTAAAGTTCAAAATTAAAAACCAATTTGAAAAATGTATATGGGGCGTTTTTTATTTAATTTAAAGACTTTTATCTATAAAAAAAGAGTACATAGTTTGAAAATTTATTCAAGGTTAATCACAATAATATTCCCTTTTTCAGTTTTTTCAACACTAGTTTTGAGATTTCTGAAAGCAAGGGGATGAGTCGGTAGCATGAAAGTTAGTGTGGCGGAAAGTATCGATTAAACGACAAATCAACTCACCATAGTGACTCACCATACTGACTCTTTTTTTTTTGTAAAATAAAATTACCTTCTGTTTGCTAGCTGCGGTATCAACTGGTATCGCTTCACCAGTCCTATTTGTTTTCTTGATATTTTAATAGTATAAGTGTAAATAGCAGACGATTCGGTTTTATTTAAAGTCACATTTATTTGACGAAAGATGCGCATCTATTTTCGATTGTGAAGTAGAAGGGAAAAATAATGTCTGGCATAATTGGTGTCGAGGTTTCGGGTTCAAGAAGAGCCAATAAATAGCAAGGACTAACATTGCTTGAATACAATTATAAAAGCAATTTGCTCTTTTCGGAATCTTAATCTTTTCAACACTTAAAGCCGCCCATTTAAATTAAGCCTCCAACAAGAGGTCAACTTTCCGAGTGGTATTTATTTTACATTAACGAATTCCTTCTGAATAAACTTTGGAAAATCTCCTTGATCTTTTGCCATTGATATACAAAGGAGAAAATAATTGTCAAAAAATATTAAATAGACAGAGATAAACAAGAGAAAATAGGCTATAAGATTGGCGAGACTAACCAACTGAACAGAATATGAGAAAAAGGCGTATATGTTGACACTGGTGACTCGCATTCTTTGATCTGTAGAATAAATAAGTCTGTCGGCTGTGGGCAATTCGAGATGGTATTCTATTGGACAAATATCAAAAATAAAAATTCATGTAATATTATAGTTTGTATGTAGAGAAGGCGACTCTATCTCCCAGAGTATTGGGGCTCCTCCAGCGTATGAACTTCCGGATCCGCTCCGGCTGCGGTTTTGTTTAAAGTGGAATTTCTAACCACCCCCTAGAGGTGGTGAATTTCTAACACTGCCCTTGGAAGGATCTGCGAACGGTAACCCCGCGCAACAGGTTCACACTAAGTTCTCGCCAGGAGTATCGCCACTAAGCCACTACGAGTCCATTCCCTTGTAGCAGGGCTGGACTTGGAACATTTTCTGCTTCCCCGTAGTTCAGATGGTTATGCACCCTCCCCCGTCTATGCAGACAGGATCTGGTATCCTAACCCTCGTGTACCTCTGATAAAACACCCGCCATCCGCTACCGACCCGAATCCAGCTTGTGCTTTAGAGAGGTTGCCACGCTCCCAAGGCTACACCATTATGTCGTGCTTGGATGCCCCTTGCATCCAAGGGTTGGGAGAGGTCTCTGGATTGAGAAAGGGAAGTGACCGTGGACACGACGCTCACCTTTTCAGATTGCACCCCCCGCATTGGCCGTACTGTTCCACCCATTGTCACCGTAGTTCCACATTAAGTGGGTATGGCTCCCCTGAGTGGAAGGTTTATGAGCCGCCAAGCAGCCGAGGTCATCTTTGTTGTCAGGCTCTTTGCGTATTTTCCTTCTTTTCTGGTTTTTCACGCATATTTTGGTATAAACTGACACCATTTGAGCGTCTCAATCTGGTTACTGACTCTCTTCTTTCATATGTATATTACGGCAGTAGCCTAAAGTGTGTAGCCTCTCGTTTGAACCTCAGGTTGTCTACTACAGAATAGAAACAAAACATACAAGGCATATATGTTGGAGAATAAGGATGACCGAAAGGAGTGGATGGGCATTTGCCAGGTTAAGATGAAATTAAAAGGGTTCATTTGAAGTTAAAAAGTGTTAATTTGACCGAAAAATTTATGATTATATAAACATTAATACTTGGTAAACTATGAAAAAATTGAAATACATGTTTTCAAATTCACTTTTTTAATATTTAAAGGCTAATATAAAGTCAAAAAGCGTCAATTTGTCGGAAAAAAGCTATAGGAATTTTACTTTATATTTTACTTTATTTGTCTATTTTTCATAATATCTTCTAAGCTTAATAACGCTTTAAAGAAAAAGCTAATTTGAAATTAAAAAAAAGTTAATTTGACGGAGAAAGCAATTTTTAATTTATAAGCTTTTCATATCTCCTAACGTTTTTAACGCTTTAAAGGAAGGGTCAATTTGAATTTAAAAAGGTTAATTTGAAATGAACAAAAGTTATTTTGAAGTAAAAAAATGAAATAAAAAAAAACGTTAGAAATTAAAATGTTATTTGGAAGTTAAAAAGAGTTAATTTGAAGTTAAAAACATTAATTCGAAGTTAACGTTTAATTTGAAGTTTAAAAGGGTTAATTTGGAAATAAAAAGAGTTAGTTCGATGTTAACAAAGCTTAATGAAAAATAAAAAAGCTTAAGGTGAAAATAAAAAGGTTAATTTTAAGTTAAAAAGTTAATTTGACGGAAAAATTTATGATTTGATCAACATTAATACATAGTTATTTAAAGATGCGGTCTCACGATCTCTAAATAATCATTAAGTCTTGAACTAAACACCACACATAGTAAACTATGATAAAATTGAGGTACATATTTTGAAATTCACCTTTTTTTACTACCAAATTAACCCTTTGTAATTTCCAATTAACTTTTTAAATTCAAATTAATCGTTTCTTTAAAGCATCAAAATACTTAGGATATTTAAAAAGTTATAAAGTAAAATTCCAATTGCTTTTTCCGCCAAATTAACTTTTTTTTAGATTCAAATTAAACCTTTCTTTAATTT